GGAGACGTTTGCGGGGGGCGTGGGTCCCCGGAGAAGGTGCGCGCGAGCAGGCGACGTTTCGGGGGGAGACGTTTGCGGGGGGCGCGGGGGTCCGGAGAAGGTGCGCGCGAGCGGGCGACGTTTCGGGGGGAGACATTTGCGGAGGGCGAGGGTCCCCGGAGAAGGTGCGCGCGAGCGGGCGACGTTTTTGGGGGAGACGTTTGCGGGGGGCGCGGGTCCCCGGAGAAGGTGCGCGCGAGCGGGCGACGTTTCAGGGGGGAGACGTTTGTGGGGGGCGCGGGGGTCCGGAGAAGGTGCGCGCAAGCGGGCGACGTTTCGGGGGGAGACGTTTGCGGGGGGAGAGGGTCCCCGGAGAAGGTGCGCGCGAGCGGGCGACGTTTCGGGGGGAGGCGTTTGCGGGGGGCGCGGGTCCCGGAGAAGGTGCGCGCGAGCGGGCGACGTTTCAGGGGGAGACGTTTGTGGGGGGCGCGGGGTTCCGGAGAAGGTGCCCGCAAGCGGGTGACGTTTTGGGGGGAGACGTTTGCGGGGGGCGAGGATCCCCGGAGAAGGTGCGCGCGAGCGGGCGACGTTTCAGGGGGAGACGTTTGCGGGGGGCGCGGGGGTTCGGAGAAGGTGCGCGCGAGCGGGGGACGTTTCGGGGGGAGACGTTTGCGGGGGGCGCGGGGGTCCGGAAAAGGTGCGCGCGAGCAGGCGACGTTTCGGGGGGAGACGTTTGCGGGGGGCGCGGGTCCCCGGAGAAGGTGCGCGCGAGCAGGCGACGTTTCGGGGGGAGACGTTTGCGGGGGGCGCGGGGGTCCGGAGAAGGTGCGCGCGAGCGGGCGACGTTTCGGGGGGAGACATTTGCGGAGGGCGAGGGTCCCCGGAGAAGGTGCGCGCGAGCGGGCGACGTTTTTGGGGGAGACGTTTGCGGGGGGCGCGGGTCCCCGGAGAAGGTGCGCGCGAGCGGGCGACGTTTCGGGGGGAGACGTTTGTGGGGGGCGCGGGGGTCCGGAGAAGGTGTGCGCGAGTGGGCGACGTTTCGGGGGGAGACGTTTGCGGGGGGCGAGGGTCCCCGGAGAAGGTGCGCGCGAGCGGGCGACGTTTCGGGGGGAGACGTTTGCGGGGGGCGCGGGTCCCCGGAGAAGGTGCGCGCGAGCGGGCGACGTTTCGGGGGGAGACGTTTGCGGGGGGCGAGGGTCCCCGGAGAAGGTGCGCGCGAGCGGGCGACGTTTTTGGGGGAGACGTTTGCGGGGGGCGCGGGTCCCCGGAGAAGGTGCGCGCGAGCGGGCGACGTTTCAGGGGGAGACGTTTGTGGGGGGCGCGGGGGTCCGGAGAAGGTGCGCGCAAGCGGGTGACGTTTCGGGGGGAGACGTTTGCGGGGGGCGAGGGTCCCCGGAGAAGGTGCGCGCGAGCGGGCGATGTTTCAGGGGGAGATGTTTGCGGGGGGCGCGGGGGTCCGGAGAAGGTGCGCGCGAGCGGGGGACGTTTTGGGGGGAGACGTTTGCGGGGGGGCGCGGAGGTCCGGAAAAGGTGCGCGCGAGCGGGCGACGTTTCGGGGGGAGATGTTTGCGGGGGGCGAGGGTCCCCGGACAAGGTGCGCGCGAGCGGGCGACGTTTCAGGGGGAGACGTTTGCGGGGGGCGCGGGGGTCCGGAGAAGGTGCGCGCGAGCGGGCGACGTTTCGGAGGGAGACGTTTGCGGGGGGCGCGGGTCCCCGGAGAAGGTGCGCGCGAGCGGGCGACGTTTCGGGGGGAGACGTTTGCTGGGGGCGCGGGGGTCCGGAGAAGGTGCGCGCGAGCGGGCGACGTTTCGGGGGGAGACGTTTGCGGGGGGCGAGGGTCCCCGGAGAAGGTGCGCGCGAGCGGGCGACGTTTTTGGGGGAGACGTTTGCGGGGGGCGCGGGTCCCCGAAGAAGGTGCGCGCGAGCGGGTGACGTTTCGGGGGGAGACGTTTGCGGGGGGCGCGGGTCCCCGGAGAAGGTGCGCGCGAGCGGGCGACGTTTCGGGGGGAGACGTTTGCGGGGGGCGCGGGTCCCCGGAGAAGGTGCGCGCGAGCGGGCGACGTTTCGGGGGGAGACGTTTGCGGGGGGCGCGGGGGTCCGGAGAAGGTGCGCGCGAGCGGGCCACGTTTCGGGGGGAGACATTTGCGGGGGGCGAGGGTCCCTGGAGAAGGTGCGCGCGAGCGGGCGACGTTTTTGGGGGAGACGTTTGCGGGGGGCGCGGGTCCCCGGAGAAGGTGCGCGCGAGCGGGCGACGTTTCAGGGGGAGACGTTTGTGGGGGGCGCGGGGGTCCGGAGAAGGTGCGCGCAAGCGGGTGACGTTTCGGGGGGAGACGTTTGCGGGGGGCGAGGGTCCGCGGAGAAGGTGCGCGCGAGCGGGCGATGTTTCAGGGGGAGATGTTTGCGGGGGGCGCGGGGGTCCGGAGAAGGTGCGCGCGAGCGGGGGACGTTTTGGGGGGAGACGTTTGCGGGGGGCGCGGAGGTCCGGAAAAGGTGCGCGCGAGCGGGCGACGTTTCGGGGGGAGATGTTTGCGGGGGGCGAGGGTCCCCGGACAAGGTGCGCGCGAGCGGGCGACGTTTCAGGGGGAGACGTTTGCGGGGGGCGCGGGGGTCCGGAGAAGGTGCGCGCGAGCGGGCGACGTTTCGGAGGGAGACGTTTGCGGGGGGCGCGGGTCCCCGGAGAAGGTGCGCGCGAGCGGGCGACGTTTCGGGGGGAGACGTTTGCTGGGGGCGCGGGGGTCCGGAGAAGGTGCGCGCGAGCGGGCGACGTTTCGGGGGGAGACGTTTGCGGGGGGCGAGGGTCCCCGGAGAAGGTGCGCGCGAGCGGGCGACGTTTTTGGGGGAGACGTTTGCGGGGGGCGCGGGTCCCCGAAGAAGGTGCGCGCGAGCGGGCGACGTTTCGGGGGGAGACGTTTGCGGGGGGCGCGGGTCCCCGGAGAAGGTGCGCGCGAGCGGGCGACGTTTCGGGGGGAGACGTTTGCGGGGGGCGCGGGTCCCCGGAGAAGGTGCGTGCGAGCAGGCGACGTTTCGAGGGGAGACGTTTGCGGGGGGCGCGGGGGTCCGGAGAAGGTGCGCGCGAGCGGGCGAAGTTTCGGGGGGAGACATTTGCGGGGGGCGAGGGTCCCCGGAGTAGGTGCGCGCGTGCGGGCGACGTTTTTTGGGGAGACGTTTGCGGGGTGCGCGGGTCCCCGAAGAAGGTGCGCGCGAGCTGGCGACGTTTCGGGGGGAGACGTTTGCGGGGGGCGCGGGTCCCGGAGAAGGTGCGCGCGAGCGGGCGACGTTTCAGGGGGAGACGTTTGTGGAGGGCGCGGGGGTCCGGAGAAGGTGCGCGCAAGCGGGTGACGTTTCGGGGGGAGACGTTTGCGGGGGGCGAGGCACCCCGGAGAAGGTGCGCGCGGGCGGGCGACGTTTCAGGGGGAGACGTTTGCGGGGGGCGCGGGGGTTCGTAGAAGGTGCGCGCGAGCGCAGGACGTTTCGGGGGGAGACGTTTGCGGGGGGCGCGGGGGTCCGGAAAACGTGCGCGCGAGCGGGCGACGTTTCGGGAGGAGACGTTTGCGGGGGGCGAGGGTCCCCGGAGAAGGTGCGCGCGAGCGGGTGACGTTTCGAGGGGAGACGTTTGCGGGGGGCGCGGGTCCCCGGAGAAGGTTCGCGCGAGCGGGCGACGTTTCGGGGGGAGACGTTTGCGGGGGGCGCGGGTCCCCGGAGAAGGTGCGCGCGAGCGGGCGACGTTTCGGGGGGAGACGTTTGCGGGGGCCGCGGTCCTTAGAGAAGGTGCGCGCGAGCGGGCGACGTTTCGGGGGGAGACGTTTGCGGGGGGCGCGGGTCCCCGGAGAAGGTGCGCGCGAGCGGGCGACGTTTCGGGGGGAGACGTTTGCGGGGCTCGCGCGGGTCTGGGGAAGGTGCGCGCGATCGGGAGACGTTTCGGGGGGAGACGTCTGCGGGGGGCGCGGGGGTCCGGAGAAGGTGCGCGCGAGCGGGCGACGTTTCAGGGGGAGACGTTTGCAGGGGGCGCGGGGGTCCGGAGAAGGTGCGCGCGAGCGGGCGACGTTTCGGGGGGAGGCGTTTGCGGGGGGCGCGGGGGTCCGGAGAAGGTGCTTGCGAGCGGGCGACGTTTCGGGGGGAAACGTTTGCGGGGGGCGCGGGGGTCCGGAGAAGTTGCTTGCGAGCGGGCGACGTTTCGGGGGGAGACGTTTGCGGGGGGGCGCGGGGGTCCGGAGAAGGTGCGCGCGGGCGGGCGACGTTTCGGGGGGAGACGTTTGCGGGGGGGCGCGGGGGTCCGGAGAAGGTGCGCGCGCGCGCGGGCGACGTTTCGGGGGGAGACGTTTGCGGGGGGCGCGGGGGTCCGGAGAAGGTGCGCGCGCGCGGGCGACGTTTTGGGGGGAGACGTTTGCGGGGGGGGGCGGGGGTCCGGAGAAGGTGCGCGCGAGCGGGCGATGTTTCGGGGTGGGACGTTTGCGGGGGGCGAGGGTCCCCGGAGAAGGTGCGCGCGAGCGGGCGACGTTTCGGGGGGAGGCGTTTGCGGGGAGCGCGGGTCCCCGGAGAAGGTGCGCGCGAGGGGGCTACGTTTCGGGGGAAGACGTTTGCGGGGCTCGCGCGGGTCCGTAGAAGGTGCGCGCGAGCGGGCGACGTTTCGGGGGGAGACGTTTGCAGGGCTCGAGCGGGTCCGGAGAAGGTGCGCGCGAGCGGGAGACGTTTCGGGGGGAGACGTTTGCGGGGGGCGCGGGGGTCCGGAGAAGGTGCGCGCGAGCGGGCCACGTTTCGGGGGGAGACATTTGCGGGGGGCGAGGGTCCCTGGAGAAGGTGCGCGCGAGCGGGCGACGTTTTTGGGGGAGACGTTTGCGGGGGGCGCGGGTCCCCGGAGAAGGTGCGCGCGAGCGGGCGACGTTTCAGGGGGAGACGTTTGTGGGGGGCGCGGGGGTCCGGAGAAGGTGCGCGCAAGCGGGTGACGTTTCGGGGGGAGACGTTTGCGGGGGGCGAGGGTCCGCGGAGAAGGTGCGCGCGAGCGGGCGATGTTTCAGGGGGAGATGTTTGCGGGGGGCGCGGGGGTCCGGAGAAGGTGCGCGCGAGCGGGGGACGTTTTGGGGGGAGACGTTTGCGGGGGGCGCGGAGGTCCGGAAAAGGTGCGCGCGAGCGGGCGACGTTTCGGGGGGAGATGTTTGCGGGGGGCGAGGGTCCCCGGACAAGGTGCGCGCGAGCGGGCGACGTTTCAGGGGGAGACGTTTGCGGGGGGCGCGGGGGTCCGGAGAAGGTGCGCGCGAGCGGGCGACGTTTCGGAGGGAGACGTTTGCGGGGGGCGCGGGTCCCCGGAGAAGGTGCGCGCGAGCGGGCGACGTTTCGGGGGGAGACGTTTGCTGGGGGCGCGGGGGTCCGGAGAAGGTGCGCGCGAGCGGGCGACGTTTCGGGGGGAGACGTTTGCGGGGGGCGAGGGTCCCCGGAGAAGGTGCGCGCGAGCGGGCGACGTTTTTGGGGGAGACGTTTGCGGGGGGCGCGGGTCCCCGAAGAAGGTGCGCGCGAGCGGGCGACGTTTCGGGGGGAGACGTTTGCGGGGGGCGCGGGTCCCCGGAGAAGGTGCGCGCGAGCGGGCGACGTTTCGGGGGGAGACGTTTGCGGGGGGCGCGGGTCCCCGGAGAAGGTGCGTGCGAGCAGGCGACGTTTCGAGGGGAGACGTTTGCGGGGGGCGCGGGGGTCCGGAGAAGGTGCGCGCGAGCGGGCGAAGTTTCGGGGGGAGACATTTGCGGGGGGCGAGGGTCCCCGGAGTAGGTGCGCGCGTGCGGGCGACGTTTTTTGGGGAGACGTTTGCGGGGTGCGCGGGTCCCCGAAGAAGGTGCGCGCGAGCTGGCGACGTTTCGGGGGGAGACGTTTGCGGGGGGCGCGGGTCCCGGAGAAGGTGCGCGCGAGCGGGCGACGTTTCAGGGGGAGACGTTTGTGGAGGGCGCGGGGGTCCGGAGAAGGTGCGCGCAAGCGGGTGACGTTTCGGGGGGAGACGTTTGCGGGGGGCGAGGCACCCCGGAGAAGGTGCGCGCGGGCGGGCGACGTTTCAGGGGGAGACGTTTGCGGGGGGCGCGGGGGTTCGTAGAAGGTGCGCGCGAGCGCAGGACGTTTCGGGGGGAGACGTTTGCGGGGGGCGCGGGGGTCCGGAAAACGTGCGCGCGAGCGGGCGACGTTTCGGGAGGAGACGTTTGCGGGGGGCGAGGGTCCCCGGAGAAGGTGCGCGCGAGCGGGTGACGTTTCGAGGGGAGACGTTTGCGGGGGGCGCGGGTCCCCGGAGAAGGTTCGCGCGAGCGGGCGACGTTTCGGGGGGAGACGTTTGCGGGGGGCGCGGGTCCCCGGAGAAGGTGCGCGCGAGCGGGCGACGTTTCGGGGGGAGACGTTTGCGGGGGCCGCGGTCCTTAGAGAAGGTGCGCGCGAGCGGGCGACGTTTCGGGGGGAGACGTTTGCGGGGGGCGCGGGTCCCCGGAGAAGGTGCGCGCGAGCGGGCGACGTTTCGGGGGGAGACGTTTGCGGGGCTCGCGCGGGTCTGGGGAAGGTGCGCGCGATCGGGAGACGTTTCGGGGGGAGACGTCTGCGGGGGGCGCGGGGGTCCGGAGAAGGTGCGCGCGAGCGGGCGACGTTTCAGGGGGAGACGTTTGCAGGGGGCGCGGGGGTCCGGAGAAGGTGCGCGCGAGCGGGCGACGTTTCGGGGGGAGGCGTTTGCGGGGGGCGCGGGGGTCCGGAGAAGGTGCTTGCGAGCGGGCGACGTTTCGGGGGGAAACGTTTGCGGGGGGCGCGGGGGTCCGGAGAAGTTGCTTGCGAGCGGGCGACGTTTCGGGGGGAGACGTTTGCGGGGGGCGCGGGGGTCCGGAGAAGGTGCGCGCGGGCGGGCGACGTTTCGGGGGGAGACGTTTGCGGGGGGCGCGGGGGTCCGGAGAAGGTGCGCGCGCGCGCGGGCGACGTTTCGGGGGGAGACGTTTGCGGGGGGCGCGGGGGTCCGGAGAAGGTGCGCGCGCGCGGGCGACGTTTTGGGGGGAGACGTTTGCGGGGGGGGGCGGGGGTCCGGAGAAGGTGCGCGCGAGCGGGCGATGTTTCGGGGTGGGACGTTTGCGGGGGGCGAGGGTCCCCGGAGAAGGTGCGCGCGAGCGGGCGACGTTTCGGGGGGAGGCGTTTGCGGGGAGCGCGGGTCCCCGGAGAAGGTGCGCGCGAGGGGGCTACGTTTCGGGGGAAGACGTTTGCGGGGCTCGCGCGGGTCCGTAGAAGGTGCGCGCGAGCGGGCGACGTTTCGGGGGGAGACGTTTGCAGGGCTCGAGCGGGTCCGGAGAAGGTGCGCGCGAGCGGGAGACGTTTCGGGGGGAGACGTTTGAAGGGGCGCGGGGGTCCGGAGAAGGTGCGCGCGAGCGGGCAACGTTTCAGGGGGAGACGTTTGCGGGGGGCGCGGGGGTCCGGAAAAGGTGCGCGCGAGCGGGTGACGTTTCGGGGGGAGACGTTTGCGGGGGGCGCGGGGGTCCGGAGAAGGTGCGTGCGAGCGGGCGACGTTTCTGGGGGAGACGTTTGCGGGGGGCGAGGGTCCCCGGAGAAGGTGCGCGGAGCGGGCGACGTTTCGGGGGGAGACGTTTGCGGGGGGGCGCGGGTCCCTGGAGAAGGTGCGCGCGAGCGGGCGACGTTTCGGGGGGAGACGTTTGCGGGGGGCGCGGGTCCCCGGAAAAGGTGCGCGCGAGCGGGCGACGTTTCGGGGGGAGACGTTTGCGGGGGGCGCGGGGGTCCGGAGAAGGTGCACGCGAGTCGGCGACGTTTCGGGGGGAGACGTTTGCGGGGCTCGAGCGGGTCCGGAGAAGGTGCGCGCGAGCGGGCGACGTTTCAGGGGGAGACGTTTGCGGGGGGCGCGGGGGTCCGGAGAAGGTGCGCGCGAGCGGGCGACGTTTCGGGGGGAGACGTTTGCGGGGGGCGAGGGTCCCCGGAGAAGGTGCGCGGAGCGGGCTACGTTTCGGGGGGAGACGTTTGCGGGGGGCGCGGGTCCCCGGAGAAGGTGCGCGCGAGCGGGGCGACGTTTTGGGGGGAGACGTTTGCAGGGGGCGCGGGTCCCCGGAGAAGGTGCGCGCGAGCGGGCGACGTTTCGGGAGGAGACGTTTGCGGGGGGCGCGGGTCCCCGGAGAAGGTGCGCGCGAGCGGGCGACGTTTCGGGGGGGGGACGTTTGCGGGGGGCGCGGGTCCCCGAAGAAGGTGCGCGCGAGCGGGCGACGTTTCAGGGGGAGACGTTTGCGGGGCTCGCGCGGGTCTGAGGAAGGTGCGCGCGAGCGGGAGACGTTTCGGGGGGAGACGTCTGCGGGGGGCGCGGGGGTCCGGAGAAGGTGCGCGCGAGCGGGCGACGTTTCAGGGGGAGACGTTTGCAGGGGGCGCGGGGGTCCGGAGAAGGTGCGCGCGAGCGGGCGACGTTTCGGGGGGAGGCGTTTGCGGGGGGCGCAGGGGTCCAGAGAAGGTGCTTGCGAGTGGGCGACGTTTCGGGGGGAAACGTTTGCGGGGGGCGCGGGGGTCCGGAGAAGGTGCTTGCGAGCGGGCGACGTTTCGGGGGGAGACGTTTGCGGGGGGCGCGGGGGTCCGGGGAAGGTGCGCGCGAGCGGGCGACGTTTCGGGGGGAGACGTTTGCGGGGGGCGCGGGGGTCCGGAGAAGGTGCGCGCGCGCGGGCGACGTTTCGGGGGGAGACGTTTGCGGGGGGCGCGGGGGTCCGGAGAAGGTGCGCGCGCGCGGGCGACGTTTCGGGGGGAGACGTTTGCGGGGGGGGGCGGGGGTCCGGAGAAGGTGCGCGCGAGCGGGCGACGTTTCGGGGTGGGACGTTTGCGGGGGGCGAGGGTCCCCGGAGAAGGTGCGCACGAGCGGGCGACGTTTCGGGGGGAGGCGTTTGCGGGGAGCGCGGGTCCCCGGAGAAGGTGCGCGCGAGGGGGCGACGTTTCGGGGGGAGACGTTTGCGGGGCTCGCGCGGGTCCGTAGAAGGTGCGCGCGAGCGGGCGACGTTTCGGGAGGAGACGTTTGCGGGGGGCGAGGGTCCCCGGAGAAGGTGCGCGCGAGCGGGTGACGTTTCGAGGGGAGACGTTTGCGGGGGGCGCGGGTCCCCGGAGAAGGTTCGCGCGAGCGGGCGACGTTTCGGGGGGAGACGTTTGCGGGGGGCGCGGGTCCCCGGAGAAGGTGCGCGCGAGCGGGCGACGTTTCGGGGGGAGACGTTTGCGGGGGCCGCGGTCCTTAGAGAAGGTGCGCGCGAGCGGGCGACGTTTCGGGGGGAGACGTTTGCGGGGGGCGCGGGTCCCCGGAGAAGGTGCGCGCGAGCGGGCGACGTTTCGGGGGGAGACGTTTGCGGGGCTCGCGCGGGTCTGGGGAAGGTGCGCGCGAGCGGGAGACGTTTCGGGGGGAGACGTCTGCGGGGGGCGCGGGGGTCCGGAGAAGGTGCGCGCGAGCGGGCGACGTTTCAGGGGGAGACGTTTGCAGGGGGCGCGGGGGTCCGGAGAAGGTGCGCGCGAGCGGGCGACGTTTCGGGGGGAGGCGTTTGCGGGGGGCGCGGGGGTCCAGAGAAGGTGCTTGCGAGCGGGCGACGTTTCGGGGGGAAACGTTTGCGGGGGGCGCGGGGGTCCGGAGAAGTTGCTTGCGAGCGGGCGACGTTTCGGGGGGAGACGTTTGCGGGGGGCGCGGGGGTCCGGAGAAGGTGCGCGCGAGCGGGCGACGTTTCGGGGGGAGACGTTTGCGGGGGGCGCGGGGGTCCGGAGAAAATGCGCGCGCGCGGGCGACGTTTCGGGGGGAGACGTTTGCGGGGGGCGCGGGGGTCCGGAGAAGGTGGCGCGCGCGCGGGCGACGTTTTGGGGGGAGACGTTTGCGGGGGGGGCGGGGGTCCGGAGAAGGTGCGCGCGAGCGGGCGATGTTTCGGGGTGGGACGTTTGCGGGGGGCGAGGGTCCCCGGAGAAGGTGCGCGCGAGCGGGCGACGTTTCGGGGGGAGGCGTTTGCGGGGGGCGAGGGTCCCCGGAGAAGGTGCGCGCGAGGGGGCTACGTTTCGGGGGGAGGCGTTTGCGGGGCGCGCGGGTCCCCGGAGAAGGTGCGCGCGAGGGGGCGACGTTTCGGGGGAAGACGTTTGCGGGGCTCGCGCGGGTCCGTAGAAGGTGCGCGCGAGCGGGCGACGTTTCGGGGGGAGACGTTTGCAGGGCTCGAGCGGGTCCGGAGAAGGTGCGCGCGAGCGGGAGACGTTTCGGGGGGAGACGTTTGAAGGGGCGCGGGGGTCCGGAGAAGGTGCGCGCGAGCGGGCAACGTTTCAGGGGGAGACGTTTGCGGGGGGCGCGGGGGTCCGGAAAAGGTGCGCGCGAGCGGGTGACGTTTCGGGGGGAGACGTTTGCGGGGGGCGCGGGGGTCCGGAGAAGGTGCGTGCGAGCGGGCGACGTTTCTGGGGGAGACGTTTGCGGGGGGCGAGGGTCCCCGGAGAAGGTGCGCGGAGCGGGCGACGTTTCGGGGGGAGACGTTTGCGGGGGGGCGCGGGTCCCTGGAGAAGGTGCGCGCGAGCGGGCGACGTTTCGGGGGGAGACGTTTGCGGGGGGCGCGGGTCCCCGGAAAAGGTGCGCGCGAGCGGGCGACGTTTCGGGGGGAGACGTTTGCGGGGGGCGCGGGGGTCCGGAGAAGGTGCACGCGAGTCGGCGACGTTTCGGGGGGAGACGTTTGCGGGGCTCGAGCGGGTCCGGAGAAGGTGCGCGCGAGCGGGCGACGTTTCAGGGGGAGACGTTTGCGGGGGGGGCGGGGGTCCGGAGAAGGTGCGCGCGAGCGGGCGACGTTTCGGGGGGAGACGTTTGCGGGGGGCGAGGGTCCCCGGAGAAGGTGCGCGGAGCGGGCTACGTTTCGGGGGGAGACGTTTGCGGGGGGCGCGGGTCCCCGGAGAAGGTGCGCGCGAGCGGGCGACGTTTCGGGGGGAGACGTTTGCAGGGGGCGCGGGTCCCCGGAGAAGGTGCGCGCGAGCGGGCGACGTTTCGGGAGGAGACGTTTGCGGGGGGCGCGGGTCCCCGGAGAAGGTGCGCGCGAGCGGGCGACGTTTCGGGGGGGGACGTTTGCGGGGGGCGCGGGTCCCCGGAGAAGGTGCGCGCGAGCGGGCGACGTTTCGGGGGGAGACGTTTGCGGGGCTCGCGCGGGTCTGGGGAAGGTGCGCGCGAGCGGGAGACGTTTCGGGGGGAGACGTCTGCGGGGGGCGCGGGGGTCCGGAGAAGGTGCGCGCGAGCGGGCGACGTTTCGGGGGGAGGCGTTTGCGGGGGGCGCGGGGGTCCAGAGAAGGTGCTTGCGAGCGGGCGACGTTTCGGGGGGAAACGTTTGCGGGGGGCGCGGGGGTCCGGAGAAGTTGCTTGCGAGCGGGCGACGTTTCGGGGGGAGACGTTTGCGGGGGGCGCGGGGGTCCGGAGAAGGTGCGCGCGAGCGGGCGACGTTTCGGGGGGAGACGTTTGCGGGGGGCGCGGGGGTCCGGAGAAAATGCGCGCGCGCGGGCGACGTTTCGGGGGGAGACGTTTGCGGGGGGCGCGGGGGTCCGGAGAAGGTGCGCGCGCGCGGGCGACGTTTTGGGGGGAGACGTTTGCGGGGGGGGGCGGGGGTCCGGAGAAGGTGCGCGCGAGCGGGCGATGTTTCGGGGTGGGACGTTTGCGGGGGGGGAGGGTCCCCGGAGAAGGTGCGCGCGAGCGGGCGACGTTTCGGGGGGAGGCGTTTGCGGGGGGCGAGGGTCCCCGGAGAAGGTGCGCGCGAGGGGGCTACGTTTCGGGGGGAGGCGTTTGCGGGGCGCGCGGGTCCCCGGAGAAGGTGCGCGCGAGGGGGCGACGTTTCGGGGGAAGACGTTTGCGGGGCTCGCGCGGGTCCGTAGAAGGTGCGCGCGAGCGGGCGACGTTTCGGGGGGAGACGTTTGCAGGGCTCGAGCGGGTCCGGAGAAGGTGCGCGCGAGCGGGAGACGTTTCGGGGGGAGACGTTTGAAGGGGCGCGGGGGTCCGGAGAAGGTGCGCGCGAGCGGGCAACGTTTCAGGGGGAGACGTTTGCGGGGGGCGCGGGGGTCCGGAAAAGGTGCGCGCGAGCGGGTGACGTTTCGGGGGGAGACGTTTGCGGGGGGCGCGGGGGTCCGGAGAAGGTGCGTGCGAGCGGGCGACGTTTCTGGGGGAGACGTTTGCGGGGGGCGAGGGTCCCCGGAGAAGGTGCGCGGAGCGGGCGACGTTTCGGGGGGAGACGTTTGCGGGGGGGCGCGGGTCCCTGGAGAAGGTGCGCGCGAGCGGGCGACGTTTCGGGGGGAGACGTTTGCGGGGGGCGCGGGTCCCCGGAAAAGGTGCGCGCGAGCGGGCGACGTTTCGGGGGGAGACGTTTGCGGGGGGCGCGGGGGTCCGGAGAAGGTGCACGCGAGTCGGCGACGTTTCGGGGGGAGACGTTTGCGGGGCTCGAGCGGGTCCGGAGAAGGTGCGCGCGAGCGGGCGACGTTTCAGGGGGAGACGTTTGCGGGGGGGGGCGGGGGTCCGGAGAAGGTGCGCGCGAGCGGGCGACGTTTCGGGGGGAGACGTTTGCGGGGGGCGAGGGTCCCCGGAGAAGGTGCGCGGAGCGGGCTACGTTTCGGGGGGAGACGTTTGCGGGGGGCGCGGGTCCCCGGAGAAGGTGCGCGCGAGCGGGCGACGTTTCGGGGGGAGACGTTTGCAGGGGGCGCGGGTCCCCGGAGAAGGTGCGCGCGAGCGGGCGACGTTTCGGGAGGAGACGTTTGCGGGGGGCGCGGGTCCCCGGAGAAGGTGCGCGCGAGCGGGCGACGTTTCGGGGGGGGACGTTTGCGGGGGGCGCGGGTCCCCGGAGAAGGTGCGCGCGAGCGGGCGACGTTTCGGGGGGAGACGTTTGCGGGGCTCGCGCGGGTCTGGGGAAGGTGCGCGCGAGCGGGAGACGTTTCGGGGGGAGACGTCTGCGGGGGGCGCGGGGGTCCGGAGAAGGTGCGCGCGAGCGGGCGACGTTTCAGGGGGAGACGTTTGCAGGGGGCGCGGGGGTCCGGAGAAGGTGCGCGCGAGCGGGCGACGTTTCGGGGGGAGGCGTTTGCGGGGGGCGCGGGGGTCCAGAGAAGGTGCTTGCGAGCGGGCGACGTTTCGGGGGGAAACGTTTGCGGGGGGCGCGGGGGTCCGGAGAAGGTGCTTGCGAGCGGGCGACGTTTCGGGGGGAGACGTTTGCGGGGGGCGCGGGGGTCCGGGGAAGGTGCGCGCGAGCGGGCGACGTTTCGGGGGGAGACGTTTGCGGGGGGCGCGGGGGTCCGGAGAAGGTGCGCGCGCGCGGGCGACGTTTCGGGGGGAGACGTTTGCGGGGGGCGCGGGGGTCCGGAGAAGGTGCGCGCGAGCGGGCGACGTTTCGGGGTGGGACGTTTGCGGGGGGCGAGGGTCCCCGGAGAAGGTGCGCGCGAGCGGGCGACGTTTCGGGGGGAGGCGTTTGCGGGGAGCGCGGGTCCCCGGAGAAGGTGCGCGCGAGGGGGCGACGTTTCGGGGGGAGACGTTTGCGGGGCTCGCGCGGGTCCGTAGAAGGTGCGCGCGAGCGGGCGACGTTTCGGGAGGAGACGTTTGCGGGGGGCGAGGGTCCCCGGAGAAGGTGCGCGCGAGTGGGTGACGTTTCGAGGGGAGACGTTTGCGGGGGGCGCGGGTCCCCGGAGAAGGTTCGCGCGAGCGGGCGACGTTTCGGGGGGAGACGTTTGCGGGGGGCGCGGGTCCCCGGAGAAGGTGCGCGCGAGCGGGCGACGTTTCGGGGGGAGACGTTTGCGGGGGCCGCGGTCCTTAGAGAAGGTGCGCGCGAGCAGGCGACGTTTCGGGGGGAGACGTTTGCGGGGGGCGCGGGTCCCCGGAGAAGGTGCGCGCGAGCGGGCGACGTTTCGGGGGGAGACGTTTGCGGGGCTCGCGCGGGTCTGGGGAAGGTGCGCGCGAGCGGGAGACGTTTCGGGGGGAGACGTCTGCGGGGGGCGCGGGGGTCCGGAGAAGGTGCGCGCGAGCGGGCGACGTTTCAGGGGGAGACGTTTGCAGGGGGCGCGGGGGTCCGGAGAAGGTGCGCGCGAGCGGGCGACGTTTCGGGGGGAGGCGTTTGCGGGGGGCGCGGGGGTCCGGAGAAGGTGCTTGCGAGCGGGCGACGTTTCGGGGGGAAACGTTTGCGGGGGGCGCGGGGGTCCGGAGAAGTTGCTTGCGAGCGGGCGACGTTTCGGGGGGAGACGTTTGCGGGGGGCGCGGGGGTCCGGAGAAGGTGCGCGCGAGCGGGCGACGTTTCGGGGGGAGACGTTTGCGGGGGGCGCGGGGGTCCGGAGAAGGTGCGCGCGCGCGGGCGACGTTTCGGGGGGAGACGTTTGCGGGGGGCGCGGGGGTCCGGAGAAGGTGCGCGCGCGCGGGCGACGTTTTGGGGGGAGACGTTTGCGGGGGGGGCGGGGGTCCGGAGAAGGTGCGCGCGAGCGGGCGATGTTTCGGGGTGGGACGTTTGCGGGGGGCGAGGGTCCCCGGAGAAGGTGCGCGCGAGCGGGCGACGTTTCGGGGGGAGGCGTTTGCGGGGAGCGCGGGTCCCCGGAGAAGGTGCGCGCGAGGGGGCTACGTTTCGGGGGAAGACGTTTGCGGGGCTCGCGCGGGTCCGTAGAAGGTGCGCGCGAGCGGGCGACGTTTCGGGGGGAGACGTTTGCAGGGCTCGAGCGGGTCCGGAGAAGGTGCGCGCGAGCGGGAGACGTTTCGGGGGGAGACGTTTGAAGGGGCGCGGGGGTCCGGAGAAGGTGCGCGTGAGCGGGCAACGTTTCAGGGGGAGACGTTTGCGGGGGGCGCGGGGGTCCGGAAAAGGTGCGCGCGAGCGGGTGACGTTTCGGGGGGAGACGTTTGCGGGGGGCGCGGGGGTCCGGAGAAGGTGCGTGCGAGCGGGCGACGTTTCTGGGGGAGACGTTTGCGGGGGGCGAGGGTCCCCGGAGAAGGTGCGCGGAGCGGGCGACGTTTCGGGGGGAGACGTTTGTGGGGGGGCGCGGGTCCCTGGAGAAGGTGCGCGCGAGCGGGCGACGTTTCGGGGGGAGACGTTTGCGGGGGGCGCGGGTCCCCGGAAAAGGTGCGCGCGAGCGGGCGACGTTTCGGGGGGAGACGTTTGCGGGGGGCGCGGGGGTCCGGAGAAGGTGCACGCGAGTCGGCGACGTTTCGGGGGGAGACGTTTGCGGGGCTCGAGCGGGTCCGGAGAAGGTGCGCGCGAGCGGGCGACGTTTCAGGGGGAGACGTTTGCGGGGGGGGGCGGGGGTCCGGAGAAGGTGCGCGCGAGCGGGCGACGTTTCGGGGGGAGACGTTTGCGGGGGGCGCGGGTCCCCGGAGAAGGTGCGCGGAGCGGGCTACGTTTCGGGGGGAGACGTTTGCGGGGGCCGTGGGTCCCCGGAGAAGGTGCGCGCGAGCGGGCGACGTTTCGGGGGGAGACGTTTGCAGGGGGCGCGGGTCCCCGGAGAAGGTGCGCGCGAGCGGGCGACGTTTCGGGAGGAGACGTTTGCGGGGGGCGCGGGTCCCCGGAGAAGGTGCGCGCGAGCGGGCGACGTTTCGGGGGGGGACGTTTGCGGGGGGCGCGGGTCCCTGGAGAAGGTGCGCGCGAGCGGGCGACGTTTCGGGGGGAGACGTTTGCGGGGCTCGCGCGGGTCTGGGGAAGGTGCGCGCGAGCGGGAGACGTTTCGGGGGGAGACGTCTGCGGGGGGCGCGGGGGTCCGGAGAAGGTGCGCGCGAGCGGGCGACGTTTCAGGGGGAGACGTTTGCAGGGGGCGCGGGGGTCCGGAGAAGGTGCGCGCGAGCGGGCGACGTTTCGGGGGGAGACGTTTGCGGGGGGCGCGGGGGTCCGGGGAAGGTGCGCGCGAGCGGGCGACGTTTCGGGGGGAGACGTTTGCGGGGGGCGCGGGGGTCCGGAGAAGGTGCGCGCGCGCGGGCGACGTTTCGGGGGGAGACGTTTGCGGGGGGCGCGGGGGTCCGGAGAAGGTGCGCGCGCGCGCGGGCGACGTTTCGGGGGGAGACGTTTGCGGGGGGGGCGGGGGTCCGGAGAAGGTGCGCGCGAGCGGGCGACGTTTCGGGGTGGGACGTTTGCGGGGGGCGAGGGTCCCCGGAGAAGGTGCGCGCGAGCGGGCGACGTTTCGGGGGGAGGCGTTTGCGGGGAGCGCGGGTCCCCGGAGAAGGTGCGCGCGAGGGGGCGACGTTTCGGGGGGAGAAGTTTGCGGGGCTCGCGCGGGTCCGTAGAAGGTGCGCGCGAGCGGGCGACGTTTCGGGGGGAGACGTTTGCAGGGCTCGAGCGGGTCCGGAGAAGGTGCGCGCGAGCGGGAGACGTTTCGGGGGGAGACGTTTGAAGGGGCGCGGGGGTCCGGAGAAGGTGCGCGCGAGCGGGCAACGTTTCAGGGGGAGACGTTTGCGGGGGGCGCGGGGGTCCGGAAAAAGGTGCGCGCGAGCGGGTGACGTTTCGGGGGGAGACATTTGCGGGGGGCGCGGGGGTCCGGAGAAGGTGCGTGCGAGCGGGCGACGTTTCTGGGGGAGCCGTTTGCGGGGGGCGAGGGTCCCCGGAGAAGGTGCGCGGAGCGGGCGACGTTTCGGGGGGAGACGTTTGCGGGGGGGCGCGGGTCCCTGGAGAAGGTGCGCGCGAGCGGGCGACGTTTCGGGGGGAGACGTTTGCGGGGGGCGCGGGTCCCCGGAAAAGGTGCGCGCGAGCGGGCGACGTTTCGGGGGGGGACGTTTGCGGGGGGCGCGGGTCCCCGGAGAAGGTGCGCGCGAGCGGGCGACGTTTCGGGGGGAGACGTTTGCGGGGGGCGCGGGTCCCCGGAGAAGGTGCGCGCGAGCGGGCGACGTTTCGGGGGGAGACGTTTGCGGGGGGCGCGGGTCCCCGGACAAGGTGCGCGCGAGCGGGCGACGTTTCGGGGGGAGACGTTTGCGGGGGGCGCGGGGGTCCGGAGAAGGTGCGCGCGAGCGGGCGACGTTTCGTGGGGAGACGTTTAAGACTATTATCGGATAAAATAACATTATCGCCAAAAGAATTATGTTATATGTTAGGAAAAGATAGTAAAGATAATACTTCTTTTTTAAGAGTTTGTTATCAAAAAAAGACTCCGGTTTACTGTTATAGTATTTTAGATGGAGCTATTGGTGATTATGTGTATTTTAATACTAAACTAGGAAATATACACATTTATATAGACCATATAGACATTTTAGATAAAGTTATGAGATTAGATAAGCAGCAGAGGGCGCGAGCATTGCAGCAGAGGGTGCGAGCAACGCAGCAAAGGGCGCGAGCAACGCAGCAGAGGGCGTGAGCATGGCAGCAGAGGGTGCGAGCAATGCAGCAAAGGGCGCGAGCAACGCAGTAGAGGGTTCGAGCAACGCAGTAGAGGGCGCGAGCAACGCAGCAGAGGGCGCGAGCAACGGAGCTAAGCACGCTTGCAACGCAGCAGAGGATGCGAGCAACGCAGGTGAGTGCGCAAGCAATGCAGCAGAGCGCGCGAGCAACACCGCAGGGGCGTGGGCAACGCAGCACAGGGGCGAGCAACGCAGCAGAGCACGCGAACAAGGCAGCAGAGTGCGCGAGCAACGCAGCTGAGCGCGCGAGCAATGCAGAAGAGGGTGCGAGCGACGCACCAGAGGGCGCGAGCAACGCAGCAGAGGGCGCGAGCAACGCAGCTGAGCGTGCGAGCAATGCAGCTGAGCGCGTGTGCAACGCAGCAGAGGGCGCGAGCATTGCAGCACAGGGTGCGAGCAACGCAGCAAAGGGCGCGAGCAACGCAGCAGAGGGCGCGAGCAACGCAGCAAAGGGCGCGAGCAACGCAGCAGAGGGTTCGAGCAACGCAGTAGAGGGCGCGAGCAACGCAGCAGAGGGCGCGATCAACGGAGCTAAGCACGCTTGCAACGCAGCAGAGGATGCGAGCAACGCAGCTGAGTGCGCAAGCAATGCAGCTGAGCGTGCGAGCAACACCGCAGAGGCGCGAGCAACGCAGCAAAGGCGTGAGCAACGCAGCAGAGCACTCGAACAATGCAGCAGAGTGCGCGAGCAACGCAGCTGAGCGCGTGTGCTAAGCAGCAGAGCGCGCGAGCAACGTAGCAGAGGGCGTGAGCAACGCACCAGAGGGCGCGATCAACGCAGCAGAGACGCGAGCAACGCAGCAGAGCACGCAAACAATACAGCAAAGGGCGCGAGCAACGCAGCTGAGCGTGCGAGCAATGCAGCTGAGGGCGCCAGCAACGCAGCAGAGGGCCCGAGCATCGCAGCAGAGGGCGCGAGCACCGCAGCAGAGGGCGCGAGCAACGCAGCAGAGGGTGCGAGCAACGCAACAGAGGGCGCGAGCAACGCAGCAGAGGGCGCGAGCAACGCAGCAGAGGGCGCGAGCAACGCAGCAGAGGGTGGGAGCAACGCAGCTGAGCGCGCGAGCAATGCAGCAGAGGGCGCGAGCAACGCAGCAGAGGGCGCGAGCAACGCAGTAGAGGGTGCGAGCAACGCAGCAGAGGGTGTGAGCAACGCAGCTGAGCGCAAGAGCAACGCATCAGAGGGCGCGAGCAACGCAGCTGAGTGCGCGAGCAACACAGCAGAGACGCGAGCAACGCAGCAGAGCGCGCGAGCAACGTAGCTGAGCGCGCGAGCAACGCATCAGAGGGCGCGAGCAAAACAGCTGAGCACGCGAGCAACACAGCAGAGACGCGAGCAACGCAGCAGAGCGCGGGAACTACGCAGCAGAGCGCGCAAGCAACGCAGCAAAGGGCACGAGCAACGCAGCAGTACGCAGCAGAGGGCGCGATCAACGCAGCAGAGGGCGCGAGCAACGCAGCTGAGCGCGCGAGCAACGCAGCTGAGCGCGCGGGCTAAGCAGCAGAGCTCGCGAGCAAGGTAGCAGAGGGCGCGAGCAGCGCACAAGAGGGCGCGATCAACGCAGCAGAGGGTGCGAGCAACGCAGGCGAGCGCGCGAGCAACGCAGCAGAGGGCGCGAGCAACGCAGCAGAGACGCGAGCAACGCAGCAGAGCGCGCGAACAATGCAGCAGAGCGCGCGAGCAACGCAGTTGAGCGTGCGAGCGTAGCTGAGCGCGCGAGCAACGCACCAGAGGGCGCGAGCAACGCAGCAGATCATGCGAGCAACGCAGCAGAGCGCGCGAGCAACGCAGCAGAGGGCGCGAGCAACGGAGCTAAGCACGCTTGCAACGCAGTAGAGGGCGCGAGCAATGCAACTTAGTGCGCAAGCAATGCAGCAGAGCGCGCGAGCAACACCGCAGGGGCGTGAGCAACGCAGCAGAGGGGCGAGCAACGCAGCAGAGCAAGCGAACAATACAGCAGAGTGCGCAAGCAACGCAGCTGAGCGGGCGAGCAATGCAGTAGAGGGCGCGAGCAACGCACCAGAGGGCGCGAGCAACGCAGCAGAGGGCGCGAGCAACGCAGCTGAGCGTGCGAGCAATGCAGCTGAGGGCGCGTGCAACGCAACAGAGGGCGCGAGCATCGCAGCAGAGGGTGCGAGCAACGCAGCAAAGGGCGCGAGCAACGCTGCAGAGGGTGCGAGCAACGCAGTAGAGGGTGCGAGCAACGCAGCAGAGGGCGCGAGCAACGAAGCTAAGCACACATGCAACGCAGCAGAGGGTGCAAGCAACGCAGCTGAGCGTGCGAGCAACACCGCAGAGGTGTGAGCAACGCAGCAAAGGCACGAGCAACGCAGCAGAGCTTACGAACAATGCAGCAGAGTGCGCGAGCAACGCAGCTGAGCGCGCGGGCTAAGCAGCAGAGCGCGCGAGCGTCGTAGCAGAGTGCGCGAGCAACGCATCAGAGGCCGCGATCAACGCAGCAGAGGGTGCGAGCAACGCAGCCGAGCGCGAGAGCAACGCACCAGAGGGCGCGAGCAACGCAGCAGAGACGCGAGAAACGCAGCAATATGCGCAAAAAACACAGCAGAGCGTGCGAGCAACGCAGCTGAGCGTGCGAGCGTAGCCGAGCGCGCGAGCAACTCAGCAGAGGGCGCGAGCAACGCAGCAGAGGGCGTGAGCAACACAGCAGAGCGCGCGAACAACGCAGCTTAGCGCGCGAGCAACGCAGCAGAGGGCCCGAGCAACGCGGCTGAGCGCGCGAGCAACGCAGTAGAGGGCGTGAGCAACGCAACAGAGGCGCCAGCAACGCAGCAGAGGCGCGAGCAACGCAGCATAAGGCATGAGCAACGGAGCTAAGCATGCTTGCAACGCAGTAGAGGGCGCGAGCAATTCATCTTAGCGCGCAAGCAATGCAGCAAAGCGCGAGCAACACCGCAGGGGCGCGAGCAACGCAGTAGAGGCGCGAGCAACGCTGCAGCGCACGCGAACAATGCTGCAGAGGCGCGAGCAACGCAGCAGAGCACGCGAACAACGCAGCAGAGTTCACGAGCAACGCAGCTGAGCGCGCGAGAAACGCAGAAGAGGGCGCGAGGAACGCAACAGAGGGCACGAGCATCGCAACAGAGGGTGCGAGCAACGCAGCAGAGGGTGTGAGCAACGCAGCTGAGGGTGTGAGCAACGCAGCAGAGGGCGCGAGCAACGCAGCAGAGGGCGCGAGCAACGCAGCAGAGGGTGTGAGCAACGCAGCTGAGCGTGCGAGCAACGCAGCAGAGGGTGTGAGCAACGCAGCTGAGCGCGCGAGCAACGCAGCAGAGGGCGCGAGCAACGCAGCAGAGGGCGCGAGCAACGCAGCAGAGGGCGCGAGCAACGCAGCAGAGGGTGTGAGCAACGCAACTGAGCGCGCGAGCAACGCAGCAGAGGGCGCGAGCAACGCAGCTGAGTGCGCGAGCAACACAGCAGAGACGCGAGCAACGCAGCAGAGCGCGCGAGCAACGTAGCTGAGCGCGCGAGCAACGCATCAGAGGGCGCGAGCAAAACAGCTGAGCACGCGAGCAACACAGCAGAGACGCGAGCAACGCAGCAGAGCACGGGAACTACGCAGCAAAGGGCACGAGCAATGCAGCAGTGGGCGCGAGCAACGCAGCAGAGGGCGCGAGCAACGCAGCAGAGGGCGCGAGCAACGCAGCAGAGGGCGCGAGCAACGCAGCTGAGCGCGCGAGCAACTTAGCTGAGTGTGCGGGCTAAGCAGCAGAGCTCGCGAGCAAGGTAGTAGAGGGCGCGAGCAGCGCACAAGAGGGCGCGTTCAACGCAGCAGAGGGTGCGAGCAACGCAGCCGAGCGCGCGAGCAACGCAGCAGAGGGCGCGAGCAACGCAGCAGAGACGCGAGCAACGCAGCAGAGTGCGCGAACAATGC